TGACTTCAGTGGAGCCAGTTTCATTTGAAAGTGCTGTTGTAGTGAGAGAATAGGTATATGTTGTAAAACCATTTAATGGCTATATGCTTCCTTGTATACACCCTAGGCATTTTTTCTGGACACATCCTTCTGACTTGGAACAAAGAGTAGCACAGGTATAATCCCTGACAGTCTCAGGTAATTCATTAAAAAGCCTCATGATGATGGGCAAACTGTCATAGTTCAAGTATTTTTACTTCTGAAGAAATGGGTTCAAGTAAGGGATTTAGGGCTATTTAAAAATAAACTTGGTCATATTTTAGTGGCAGGAAATCTTATTTGTTCCATTGTTTGGGCTAGATTTGATACCAGCATCAGTTTGCTTAAGAGACACCCATAATCAATTCAGATATGATACACTGGATGGTGGCGGTGTATCAAAGTGGAATACAAGCAGAATAACTGGGTAGGTGACAGTAATGCTGAAAAGGATCTGGGGGTTATAGTGGATCACAAATGAGTCAACAATGATGAATTTGCAAACAGGGCTAATGTTCTGGGGTGTATTAACAGGAGTGTCTCCATGTAGGATATGTGGGGGAGGGGTGGTGTTAATTGTCCCTCTGCTTGGCACTGGTAAGCCTCAGCTAGAGCATTTTGTCTAGTTCTGGGTGCCACACTTCAAGAAGGATGTGGATAAATTGGAGAGTTAAGAGGAGAGCAACAAATAAAAGGCTTAGAAAACCTGATATGAGGAAGGGCTAAAAAAACTGGGCATGTTTAGTCTTGGGACAAGAACATTGAGGGGGGAACCTAATAAGTCTTCAGCAACGTTAAGGGTTTTTACAAAAAGGATGGTAATCAATTGTTCTCAATATGTACTGAAGGTCGGACAAGCAGTAATGGGCTTAATCTGCAGCAAGGGAGATTTAGGTTGGATATTAGGAAATCCTGTTTCACAATAACAATAGTTGAGTTCTGAAATAGGCTTCCAAAAGAGGCTCTGGAAAATTCTTTTAAGAACAGGTTGGACAAAACCTTATCAAGATTTACTTGATCCTACCTCAGCACAGGGGGATGAAGTTGATGACCTCTGAAGGTCCCTTCCAGTCCGCCATTTCTGAGATTGTGATATATATATAGCCCTAGCAAGTATGCTTAATGCCTTACTCTGAACCCCAAATTCAGGCACTGGTCATCCTTTCCTCTACTTGATTTGACTTTTCTCTCAACTCTTGCCAGAGCAGTGCTTTCTGTCATACAGGCCCAGAAGAGTAGGGATACAGTCAGTAGAAGAAAAACCCCAGACATTTGACAGTATGTGATGCTCAAATTGATCTCACCTGTTTCACCTCTGAGTCCAATGTGCGATATAAGGTAAATGCAATTCCAGCACAGGAATCCATCTTCAAAGATGTTATGAAATGGCTTAAGTTACGACCAGTCAAACTACAATAAGTTACTATTTAAGAGGTTGTAGAAGAAATAAAAATCAATACAATCATTAAGCAATGTTGCCAAACATTGTTATGGGAGTGTGTTCAAATTTCAGAATACTAAAGCAACAAGGAACACTGTCAAGGTTGGTAGGCACCAAACTGGATGTTTTTCTCCTCCGCTCAGGTTTTTTTCCTGTGGGAATGTTCTAAAATGATTTTTTTTATCTCTAGTTTTAAAAAACCCCAATAGTCCAGTATCTGCATGAATCCAGATATAGTAAAATGGCATGCATTGAGATGGGAGTTGAAAAGGTAGCACTTAAATGAGATATTTAAATCGCCTCCAAGGAGCTTGTAGACAATGGCCAAACTTTAAAAGGTACATCAAATCTGGCATCTGATCTGGATACTTGCAACATTGGGGGTGAGTTCTGCAGACACACATTTAGATCACTCCTTGACTTGCATGTGCAAATGCTTACTAACAAGGAGTTTGGTAGACTTGGCTCTGCATCTGATTGTAGGGAAAGAATTAGGATGGGTTGAGGTAAAGTCTTGACAGTGTACTTTTTAACAAGGCCTCTGTAGCTGCCCTGTAACACTTACATTAGTTTCAAGATTATCAACAAGACTCCTTTGCAACTTGAAACAGTTGAAGTCTGCAAGTGACTTGTTCTTAAATGGGTGGGGTAGCTTAGTTGTGGTATGCAATATGGAAAAGTGTAAGCTATGAGACAGTGATTAACCAGCTTTAAGAACCTAGGATGTACTTCTTAGCAAAGTATGGATCAAAGGACTCATAAGACAGGACTTCAGCAGCCTATTGAGTATGGACAAGTCAGCATAATTAAAGAATGACAAGGCAGCAGCAGCAACAGCAGCTTCAACTTCCAGAGAAGTGAAGGCATAAGATACTGTGCTGATAGTGAGCAGCTTTCCAAAGGCTAGTTAAATCTGCTGAAATATCGAAGAAAGTCTAGCAAGAGTTCTTCACCTTTTGGAACCTCCTTGAGTGATAGCCACTTGAGTTGACACAAAATCAATAGGTCTAGCATTTAGACCTGAAAGGAAGGGCAATGAGATAGGTAAGGTTTTCCTTTAAAATTTTTTCATGAATTAGAATAGTAGTGTGTTTTTTAAACAAGGTAAGAGTAATTTATTTACATTGCAGGTTGAATGAGAAGCTGCAGTTTGACAAAATGAGGAATGTCTTGCATATCCTCTTCAGTTCAAAGGTTTCTGACTAGGTAAGACTTGTCTTGTAAAACAAGCAGCTGATCATGACTCTTTAACTCACTCCCTTTTAGATTCTCTCTCTCTCTCCCGTCTATCCCCCCGTCGTCGTTCCCCTCCTTCCCCCCCCCCCTTATTAACTTGTATTGAGTTTTTTCCTAGATAGGAGAAAGAAGTACATTAGCAAATCACAGCATTTGCTGCTCCGAATTAAAGATATTTTTTGGGGGTGTGAAAGCAGTTCTATATAATTCATTTCTCAACTGTCTTGCAATAATATGTGGATCAGTGTTTGAGCAGTGTACTATAGTTTTCCCGCTGTTAAAAGAGCTTCTAAACAACCTTTTGACCACAATTCAAAATAGTCTTTAACATGGTGGCTGTAGAGTATTGCAGATGAAAGCATTCCTCCTATTAACGAGAACAATGATCTGTTCCTTTGCAGAAGTCTAGGCTCTCTAACGGCATTAGTAATTAGCAAAGGCAGTTTTTTCCTTAGAACGTCCTATAACAAGTAGGGATCACTTAAAGTGGATTTTAGCCCAAAACAACGCTTTTATTTCTGTGGGGACAGAACAATAAAATAACTTGTTCTCTCTATTTTGCACACAAGTCCTTGACTCTCTTGGACGTTTGCTGTTTTTTCTGTGTTCATCTCTCAAGGCCTGAAGCTGTCATGGTGGGGAATATTTCTATTGTAGCCTTTTTTTACACTGGAGTCTAGTACCTGTTTTCATTTAAACTTTTCAGTCAGATAAAATATCTACTAGTCTTTATTTTTACTTTAAGACTGCTTTTCAGTGAACAGTCATAGTTCAAGAACAACTCAGCCAGTATTGTCTGCTTAAATTGCACTAAAACGAAAAATTCAAATGAACACATTTCACTTAGTTTTAGCTGTTAAGTGTTCATATATGGATTTTGATTAGTACTAGAATCCCACTAATTGAGTCCTGGCAACATCTGCTGTGAGCACCTAAAAATCCAACCTTTGAAAACACTGGTGTGAATCATTCTTAATAGTTATTTTTAGATGGCATGTTTGTAAACACCATGAAAATCTCACTTAGTGCATTTTTTACAAATTAAATGAATGACAGTTATATTCCCCCACCCTAGGTTGAGCCAAGGTTGAAAAGGTAGCTTTGTACTGAGGCAGAAGGTTCTCGATACCAGTCATAGTTAGAGTACTAGATACCCTTGTTGCATCTGGTGACTAGCATCCTTTCTTAGCCAGAGGTTGAAAAATGCTTGTGCCTGCCTGCTGTAACCTTCCCAACCCTGGCTAAGAGGAACCTCTTCTGAATGCACATGATCAACAAAGGGTCACTTCTAGATTAGATCATGGATTGATTTGCTGCAGCCTGCCTATAGCATCTTCAAGTGTTAAGAACATACAGGGTATCTAGGTATACAGTTCCTGGAAAGTATTTAGTTCAGTTGTAAGATCTATAGAGTGATATATTGGTTCTCCTTACGATGACTCCAGATTTTCTTAATATTTTAAGTGTAAAGCTTGGATATCCGAGTTTCTGAAATTAGCTTCCCAATATCAATATGTAAAATATTGAACTAATTTACTTCTGCTTACTGTCTTCCAATTGCTTATGTTGTAGTTTCATCAGACAAGGAGATGAACGAATTTTTTTAAAGAAAAGTTGGACATATGTTATACCAGAATATATGAATTTCCAGGTAATATTTACATAGGCGCTTTAAAGAGTGAGGATTGTCCATGAAAAAAGGACAACACTTTCCTTTCCCCAAACTGGGATCCACTTCAGATACTGGAACCAATTTACTTGGTGCAGTTGCTGAACAAGCAGTAGCTGCCATGCTTGTGAACAAAGTCACTGCCATACCAGTTTCTAATTGGTTGCTTTGTAAAGTACTTTAGGATACCAAGAGTATGAAATATGCTAGATAAAATCAGATTATAATAGAGAGGATCAATCTTAATTTGCTGTCCTTGCTATCAAGAATAAAGAGTTACAAGGCATTTGTTCCTACATTGCAACTTTAATGGGAAACTCCATTAAATACTTACAAGTATGAAAACTCGTGTGTGTGTGTGTGTGTACACGCACACTGTCCTGTTTCCCAACAGGGGCCCAGTTTGATGCAGAGTGAGACTGGAATTTGGTTTGCCACTAGAAACTATGGAAATCAGTCTGAAAGTTTTTAATTAAACTGGTTATCTTATATTACAACTTTTGAAACCGTCTGGTTTCCAGTATTTTAGTGGGTGGAGGGAAAGATTGTAGTCCTTTCCTGTATCAGAATGTCTCAATGCCTTGGCTTACCGTCTCTTGGCTATATGTTTAAGACACTTTGTACAATGAATAAAATAACACTTAATTATTTCACTGGATTATTCCTTTTAAATATCAATCTGATCTCATTTATCAACACTTTTATTTTAAAAATATGCTTGAACATAGTGATACAAAGACAGTCTGGGGTATACTAACTTTCTAATGTATCTTATTCTTTTTCTACTGTGGATGCTGCAGGTTGATTCCTGTACCTCTAAGATAACTTTTTCCTGAACTCAGTGGTGCAAGTCTATCCATCATAGAAGAAAAACGACCCTTCCATAGAGGATAATGTCACAAGATTTGAAAACAGAAATTAAATCTATAATTAAAATGTCAGATAAAGGCTTAAAGAATAATAGTTTAGTGAAACTTTACAGTTTGCATTCAAACAAGTTTTAGAAAAGAACACCCATAAATGTTAACTATATATATCAAAATATTGTCGATAATGCATTTCTCCTTTTCTGTACGAGAATGAACTGTAAATTGTCATGACTTTTTATTAAAAGTTCTTTTTTTGAGTAGTGTCAGTAAGATCTTTTGTCTTCATATAGTACTGTAGAAGTAATTGAATTTAGAGCCATTCAAAGGAGGCTTGTGGCCAGAAGCAACCCTTCTAATGCTATTTGACTTGAATGAAATGTGTGGTCTTAATTCATTAAAGTCCTGGTCCAGTGTTCGCAACACTTGGAATTGGAGGGGTTGACCAGGAAATGAATTGGATCTGCATGGGGATTTGAGAATATAGTAGGTCAATGTTGTGTAACACTGGCAGGGTTGCATAGGAAAACTTGCACTGCCACTGCCCTTGTAACTATCTAGTATTTTCATGTGTGCTGAAATCACCCTTTAAACTGGAAAGCTGTGCATGTGGAGGTTTTGTGGCGAATGTTTTTTAGGAGAGATGAGGTAGGATATATTAGAACTTGTTAAGGTCTTATGTTAAACCTAACTTACTAGAAACGCTCCCCCCAAACTTCTTCCCTGGATTGAGCCTGTGATGTGCCCCACTCCTCTACCAGGTCTTGGCATAACCATCTGCCCCTGGATTTCTCAAACGTGGTGGTGAGGTTATTATGTGGGGGGTTGTGAGCTGTTAGCCTCTACCCCAAACCCCACTTTGCCTCCAGCATTTGTAATGGTGTTAAATATATAAAAAGGGTGTTTTTAATTTATGGGGGGGGGGGTCACACTCAGAGGCTTGCTGTGTGAAAGGGGTCACCAGTACAAAAGTTTGAGAACCACTAGCCAATTGATAATAGGACAAATGATGACCACACTTGGGGTGGGGAGGGGAGAATAATTACCCCCATTTAAATGGTCCACTGCCAAGCAACTGGGGGTAAGATTGTAACTGTGGGAAGTGAGGAAGGACCATCTCTTCCGCACAAGTTCAGAGAGCTTTGATCGATGTGAGGGCTTAATTGCTGAGGGAATGAACATATGTTGTCCCTCAAAGCAGCCTACACATGGGATAGTATGCTCTTTTGGTGCAGTTACAGTTGTAACTAGCACAGTTTAAGGATATTTAAGGTAATATTACTCCTACATAAAGTACAGATTCAGTATCTGAAGCTGTTTTTGTTTCTTCACAAAAATGCTAATTTAGTAGTGTTTATAATGAATTTGAGTGAATGTAGCACTGGAAGCAAACTAGAGTTACAAGATAATCAATTACCATTTATAAAACAGTCCTCAATTGTTTTAGTTGCCTAACACTTTCTATTGTAAGTCTTTTGTGACTTCTCATACCTCTGTTTACATTGGGCTTCTAAAACGTACCCAGAAGAATGTCCTCCAGCTAAAGTGCCTTTTCTTTTTGCATGCAGAGGTGTAGCCATGTTAGTCCCAGGATATTAGAAAGACAGGTGGGTGAGGTAATATCTTACTGGAGAAAACTTCTGTTGGTGAGAGAAGCTACAAAGAGCTCTTCTTCAGGTCTGGGAAAAGGTACTGTCACAGCTAAAAGACAAGATTGAACAGACTTTCGCATAAGTAGGCACATTCTAACAGGGACCACTATGGGTGAAATGACAAGCACTATGTTCTTGAATTAAATTCTCAGAAACATGACAACCAAACCATGACCTGTGAGTGAATGCTTTTCACAAACCAATCATTCTATATTTGACTTGTCAGTCATTCTCAAAGGAAACCTGCACAACACCTTCAAACTATGAGCTTGGGAGCTTAAATTCATGTCTCTGCTAGACACTGAACAGACACTCGATTTAACTTATTACTACAGTCTGTAACCCTTAACTCCCCCCACCAATGACTGGAGAGGGGTTAACTGGCCACTTCACCTTGAATGGTCCCTTGAATTGTATTAACTACTTATGCTTAATCTGTTCCACCTTGCATTTAGCTGACAGTGCAAGTATATTTCCCAGACCTGAATAAGAGCTCTGTGTAAACTCAGTAGTTCTCACCAGTAGCTAGGGTGACCAGACAGCAAGTGTGAAAAATCGGGACGGGGTGGGGGGGTAATAGGAGTCTATATAAGAAAAAGACCCAAAAATCGGGACTGTCCCTATAAAATCGGGACATCTGGTCACCCTACCAGTAGCAGCTGGTCCAATACAAGATAGGTGAGATCTTTTTGTTTCTAACATGCTGCTGGGAACAACAGTGCTAGAATGATACTGGAAAGACACTACTACTCAACTGTTTCAGAAGGCAGTGCTGTTCTGCTGCTACTAGGCTAAATCATCTGATAGTAGCTTACTGCATTCACCATAGTCTGATCACTATTCCAACCTCAGTATATGCATTCCCTGTTTAAGCTGAAGAAATGTAGGCAGTGCAGTGTTACAGTGGCAGTACAAAGGGACAAACTTGGTGTGATACTTGTGTGGGTTCTCCTCCCCTCCCCCCCAGTCCTGTTAGGGGAAAGAGCAGGCCCAAATAAAATTCAGGGTAAAAGTTAAAACAAGTTATTTGTTATGGAGGTGTCAATCATAGTGCTAGAGTTCTTTTGCATAGAAAATAGTTTAACATCTTATGTATGGGAAGACACAGCATGTTTTACCCACCCTTACAGAACTTTTTGATAGTTTACATTTAATTGAATTAAAAATAGTTTCTTCAAGAAACTTAGTGTTGTCAGAACTCTTGTCTTGAATTAATCTATGCTGTTACCCATTGATTCTCAAACTTTTGTACTGGTGACCCCTTTCACATAGCAAGCCTCTGAGTGCGACATTCCTCCCCCCCCCCCCCTATAAACTAAAAACCCTTTTAAATATATTTAACACCATTATAAATGCTGGAGGCAAAGCAGGGTTTGGGGTGGAAGCTGAAAGTTTGACCCCCCCCCCATGTAATAACCTTGTGACCCCATGAGGGGTCCTGAGCCCCAGTTTGAGAACCCCTGCTGTTAACTCTTCAACGTTCTCCCTATAGTTTAATTCACTACATCCAGAAATATCAACACTCAATTTTCCACAATCCTGATTTTCTTTTTTTTTAAACATAATTACTAATTCAGGCTTAAATCTTCTAACTTTGCAAGGTCTATAAAATCATGACTGGTGGGGAGACAGTGAATGAGGAAATGTTATTGACTCCTTCACATAACACAAAAACCAGGGGTCACCCAATGAACTTGGACAGCAGGCATAAAACAAAGAGGAGTACTTCACACCATGCACAGTCAGCCTGTAGAACTAATTGCCAGGGATGTTGTTAAGGCCAAAACTATAAGGGGGTTCCAAAAGGAACTAGACAAGCTCAAGGAGGATAGGTGATCTTGGTGTCCCTAACCACTGGTTGCCAGAAGCTGGGAGTGGATGATGGAATGGATCACTCAATAATCGCATGTTCTTTTCTTTATCTTTGAAGCACCTGGCATAGGTCACTCTCAGAAGACAGGATACAGGGCTGGATGGATCATTGGTCTGACCTACTATGTATTTTTATGTCCATACATTTATATATGTCTCTCTATGATCTAGTGAATATAGTAATTAGCACTGCAGCTGCAGGGGGTGATATAGATTTAGACTGTGTAATGAGGGCCTGAAGAGGCAAGCTGCAGCAATGAGTGGGTTTGGGTGCTGCTGGATTCACCACCCAAACCCCAGGCTGCATGTTGTGCTCTAACACTCCCACCTTCCCTCCCCTTCTGGACTCTGCTGTGCTATGTTAATGCACTCTTTAGTATCTAGAGGGTGCTAGGAGGGTCCACCGGGGGCAGTTAGAACACTGCAGCCTGTGTCTTGAGTGGTGAATCCAGCATTTCAAACCCCCTGACATCAGGCTTTCCTCTTCTCAGACCCTCACTGCTCTCTGCAGTGGAGGAGAAGCCAGAGAGGGAATATGACAGCAGAAAGGAGGTCCAGGTCTGAGCCTGGCTAAGGTAATTAAGGGCCCTAGGCAGCATAGGAGGGCAGCTTTCCAGGGGTCAATTTATCCCTTCTCCCTGTTTGGGGGGAGGAGACGGGCAGGCCCCCTTCTCCACAGACATAGGAGAGAGGTCCTCATTTGTGGGGGTCCAGCAATCACTTTATATATATATATAAGCAATCCTAGAAGTGTCAGAGCAAGGTTGGCATCTTTGCTAATTCTTGGGACCAAGCTACCGCTGAAGAAATTTTAGGATTAAGTTTATGCCTCAGCAAGGCTGGCACATAACTTCTTCAAAGAGTTGTCCTTTCAAAATAGCCCTTTTCCCCCTCTTCTGCTGCCGCCCCCCCTTCTGAAGGGGAGTGAGGCCACAAACAAGGACTATAAATGTTGCACCCCTGCTCAGCCTGGCATGTGACGCAGCATAAGAAAAGGTACTAAACTATGGGCTACTATGGTAATGACAATTTTGACCCGGGTTTTGACCTGTAGGTGGGGGTATTCACATAGTTTTGATTGATCAGAAAAACAAAATGCCTTTTCTAGGATCTGAAACTTCTCATAATCACCTTTTGCAAAATCCCTTAGGCATAGTCTGTGGATTCCCAGAGGTTCACAGACCAGAGGTTTAAATCCACTGTGCTATATCCTCAGTTGCTGCACCTTCCCCCCCCCCCCCACTCGA